GCTGACCAAACACGGACCTCCAAAACATCAGAGGTGGGGAAAGGTGCCATGGAGTAGTGAGCATCCCCTACTGACCTGTATCACCCGCCATGTGCTCCTTGTCATGATCGGGAAATGACTGGAAAATCCGCATCAATTTAGTATATAAATAATGGACAAATAATTAGTATGAAAAACATCAGTCAGCATTTGACTCACTAATAAATTGTATTTGTTGACAAGGTCATCGTACCGACAAAAGAACTTACGAAATAATTACTTCAAACGAGACTGCTGAAATTCTTGTTGCTAAGGTCACATTCATTAAGAGGATATGTATAATTGCTTTTTCAACGGTGAATGGGATTCAAGTTTAATCAAATAAAGATCATGTCCCCGTCGAAGGAGGGTGTTTGGTGAAAGGCAAATATAGGATGATATAGGATGGGGCTATTGTGCCAGAACTGTAAAATAAATTATATGAAATCTTCCAGACATTATGTAAATTCATTTATTTTTTTCAAATCGATGTCTCGCGGGGATAGTATGGGCACGCTGGATTAGGGAGTGAATTTTTACATAGGAATATTTACAGTAAAGTTCGGAAAGATACCATCTAATATTTGTTATAGTTATATAAAAAATATCTCCAGGTAATAAAAATCTAGTTCTGTAATTTTGAAAAATTTCTAACTCTGTTATTTTTCTCTGCGCAAACACACCGAAATCACTGTGTAAAATCGATCCTGAATATACTGTACGTCACTGCATAGTATAATACAAATTCATCCCTATACTTCAAAGTACGTTTGGGTCTCAAATATTTATGTAGAAATATTTTTAAAAATATCTTGAAATGTTTTTTATATGAACAATGGGGCAAACATTAGAAATATAATTTTCGCACACCCTTACACTCTGCAGATTCAGAATTCTTCAAACCGTAAAGAAAAGCTGGGTTATACAAGCATTTGGAGGATTGGAACCAGATCATTTTGCGAATACACATCTCTATGAATAAAACATGTGGAGATAACGAAAGAAAGTAAACTCAAATGTTTATTAAACATTACAAAATGGGAGCAGAGCAAACACGGACATCTTAAACATTAGAATTGGAATCAGATGCCATGGACGAGTGAGTATTCCATAACCGACCGGTCACATCCGCCGTGTGCTCCATGTCATGTCTGGCAAAAATCGAATATACGTAGATAATGCAGTGTGTAAATAATGGCCTATCAGTATGAAAAACGTTCATCAGCATTTGACGTAATGATAGACTATATTTGCTGACAAGGTCATTGCATCGACCGTAGAATTTATAAAATGATGACTTTAAAAGAGACTGCTGATACTCTTGCTTCATCATTTTGTTTTTCTAAAACTCAACTTAAATTCTGTTAGAAATTGTTTGTACGTAGTACAAGCTCTTCCGTATCAAATTAGCTGAGAGATATAAACTCCGTGACAAGGGTATATTGCTGCATAAAGGGAGTTGACGATTGAAAACTTAAAGTCATCACGTTTATCATAAAGCTTTGTTGTTAGAATACTATATTGACACAAAAAAGAAACGCAACGCCCTACTTTAGGGGGAAATAATTATGTAAAGTAAAGAATTTTGTATCTTAAAATTATGGATTTCTTCAATTTGGTAAATGTCACAATTGATGTCCATATTTGTTTTCCATATGTTTTATCTGCATTCTATATTACCAATATTATTTGCCCAATATGTTTACCATACTTTTAAGCTTGTTTAGCAGGTTTTACCTGGCGATTTAAATCCCGTGAAATCAGATTGGGCGTAGCAATTGGAGAGAGCAGAAGTGTCTTAGACTGCTCAACTTTCTACCTTATTTTTGTTTAATGTTTTGATATTTCATGACCAGCGGTCCACCTATTCTGGGTAAGTGTATTTTATTCATTATCGTTAACTGTATGATTTATTGACGGTTTTAATTCCTGAAATGGCCACAGAACTTTGTTCTATAATTTCATCTGTAAGTTAGATTCGAAGTAGTATTTGCTCATGTAAAGTATATGTGTTATAAGTAAAAGTATAAGTGTATGAGTATATGTATAATGTAGACGTAGTGTTGTATGTATAAAGTATGGCGTATAGTATTCGTCTTAAAGTGGTTGTCTACAAGTAATACACTTAGTTTATGCGTGAACGTAAAAGTTCTATAAAATAAAGTAGTACCGTAGATCTGGAAATTTTTACTGTAGATAAATTTTCAGCAAATTTGCGTGTGCATTGCATTCGCAAAAATATTTTTCTTAAAAATAAATCAACATGTGAAGAATTTTTTCTGAGAACTCGTGCCTTTTTTTTAACTCAGTGAATAGGTGTCGGTGAGCACTGGTCATTTTTAAAAGAAACCTGTTTACACTAGTCTACTACATAACTACAAGTTAATTACCCGTGCGTGTAAATTGCCCTCATTATGTGCAATATCGTCCGATGATTTGACAAGCACTGAGGGGTATGCCCCTTTTTAATTATTTTCCATCATTTTAAAATTTGCCAATAATAAAGAGAGAACTGTCATTTTATCTAACCGTCTATCAACACGGGCGATAACTCAAACTCAGTGCATTTACTAGAAAGTTCCAAATGTAAACGCGGCGTGTAAATTTTAGGTAAGAAAAAAACAAACTTTGAGAAGATTAGTTATATTTTTTCTTCATTTGGATTATACTTTAGGTTAAAAGGCATACACAACCTCTAAAATGTTTGTTATATAATAATTGATTTAGAAATTATTTCCAGTGCAAATCCTTTTGTATTTTTATCAAAATTGTTTCGGAGCGATTTTGCAATATCATGCTACGTTGCGAGTATATTGGTGGTATTCTTACTGTGCATACTAATTTGAAACATAACCTGATATGAAAATCTTCAGTGATTTTTATTTTTAGCACCAGTGACAATTCGCAAAAATTTGAAGCGTAAAAAATAATCAACAGCTTTTTGACCCACATTCGCAAAAATAAATCGACGTAAAATTTTCCAGATTTACGGTATGAAGTGAAGTGAATTATAAGTACAGTGCAGTAAAATGCAACCAAGTAAAGTGTGATGCAGTAAAATGCACCTAAGTAATGTACAGCAAAATGTACAAGTATGAGCAATGTATAATTATATTATGTATGTATCTAACTTTGATTTATATTATAGGTCCCATTTAGGCCACTTATGCCATCTGTACCATTCATGCCATTCAGCCAGTGAGCCATTCAGACAGTTATACTTCGCGTGTGTTTGTAAATATCTGTAATAAAAACTACTTTATACACATTGCTTTGTGATTTTGGGAAGCCGCCAGCCACCCTGTGACAGTAAATAACGGTAATTTAACGGCTTAACGAATTTCATATCATAACCAGAAGCTCAAATTTAAGTCTGCTTACCAGGAATCAAAAATTGCATGTTTAACAAAACATTTGGCAATTTTATGGAGTTTTAAGGGTTTATACTGTTCATCATAAGTAATGCAGCAATATTTAAAAAAATAAACTCTCCTTTCGTTTCCCGTAACGATGCTAATTAAGGCTTCTTGAAAATGGCTTAAGGATGATGTTTACTCAGGTTTCAGAAAACAGAGAGGAAATTTTATAAAGTATAATATGTTAAATCAAAAGTTGTTCTAAATGGATAAAATAAGCAAGTTTTAAATCAAAATCAATTCAAAAATTTAATATTTTATTTTTTAAAGAAAATATACAGGATCAAATGTCAATGTATGGTAATGCAGAGGAAATTCGTACTAAATTTTTAATTTTTCATATTTGTCAATTTTTTTTTTATTTCTTGCATTATAAAAACACAAAGTACAGGTTACATGTATCTTTAAACATCATTTTAAACATATATTTGTTAAAGCTTATAAATTATTTCAAATGATTGAATGCTGTGAAATAAAGAAATTCAAAAATCGTACAAAACCATTCCAGACAATATATCTCAATAATTTGATCATTGACCCCATATAATATTAATACCACGAGGATAAGGGCGACAAAAGTAATCTGAGGCTATAAATAATCTAGAGTAATTATCAGTAAGATTTTTGTAATGTTCGATTAAAAATGGGGAAAAAATATAAATATGGCAGAGGAAATTCGGACTGTAATAATTATCACATTATGGCCCAAACTCTAATCATTTCTTAATATAAAGCACGATGTTCCATTGCTATATAATAATATTTCATTATTTAAACAGTTTTGTTGCCTGTAATATTTTGTGTGTGAAGAAAAAATTGGTCATAGTGTAAAAAATTGAGGTATTTCCCGAGAAATGCTCAAGGCCACTAGCATGAAAAGTAGATCATTGACCTAGTTATTTGAAATTGAAATTTAACACAAGAATCATAGGTGTACAATGTGCAATAGGTGGTTTTTCGTTCTTATTAGTGGACTTTTTGGTAATCTGAGTAAAGGTATACCTTAAGTACGTATTTTCCATTGCTCTAGATGGAACATTTCAAAGGTGATGGAGAGTTGCTAATGCAGAAATCCACTACATTACGCTTTAACATGGTCTTACGTATCATATGCATTAAGGACAGTCCTTGTACCAGTCCAATGATGGCTACACTGCTCTAAGTTAGAGAAAATTCAACCTAATTATCTAAAAAAAACGGGCAATAAAAATGGCAAAGAATAATTCCTTCGCTCAGATATTGATATTGATGAACCTATTGTATAGTAGAAATTAAGCTGCAATTGATGTTCAGGACAGTACTAGTCTTGCACGTTTTACTTGAATGGCTGGGAGGGGGTGTTTTATCAGTCATGTATTACTTAGTAAAGTAAAAGATAAACATTTAACATTCTTATCGAATCTCTGATGTTCTGAAAAGTGAGTTTAGCTTTACTGTATTCATTTTTGAAAATCATTAGATAAAAAAATCAAACATTTGTAGATTACTGCTTGTTGCGTTTCTTATGCGTTTCAGAATGTTAACAACCCTTTCTAGTTAAATATACAATATGAAAAATGTTTCAGGCTCTGTGATATATCTTTTATTTCAGGCTTATCGGAATATATCGTATATTGGTACCCAATTGGTACATGTACCCATTGGAATGCAAATAACTGTATTATTGAAAAAAAAAGACGTGAAAAAGAATTGAATCTAAAAATCCTTTCTGTTTTTGTTTCTTAATCGGATTCTCACAATTTCAGCCACAATAAATGAACATAAGTAGGATACAAAGTATAAAATTTGTGAACTGATCAAGTAAATACATTTTATAGTCTGTAAATGTTCATGTATCAAGTAAATAAAAGCAGAAAAATAAACATGACTTCATTCAATTGTTAATAATTATGTTCCACGTCGTTACAGCCTCCCATACACCAGCCGGGACACGTTGTACCTCTTCTACACAGAACTTCAGACAGACGGTTTGCAAAATTATGACAGTTGTTGATCGGGAAGATGTATTCACCAAATTGACATTTGTAATTTTTGGCGCAACCTTCAATACATTCTGGACTTAGTTCGCTATAGCCAGCAGGGTACTGTTCCCTAGCCCCAGGACACAAGTGTCCATTTAATCGACTTCTAGCGATGGATACTCTGGAGTTGGCTAGATTTAAAATAAGAAATCAAATTTTAAAATGTAATTAAGCTTATAACAAAATATGTCTGTGCACTTACATCCACCGCTTTTGCGAGGACACCAAATCTCATTTGCCTTTCAGTATGTCAATCTGTCCGTCTGTTACATTTGAATGAGAAAAGATAGAGCTTTCATGTTTCAAGTGTACATTACCCGTGACAAGAATTTTCTTATTATTCTATGATTTTTGACACCGTGACCTTTACTTTGAAGTTTCTTTAAATTGGCCATTACTTTTAAATGAGAAGTAATTAGCATTTCTTACTTAGTAGTAAATACACCGATTCTGCACGGTGTGATACGGGTGACGTCACAATACCCCATATCAAGGACCGGTCCAAAAATCTATCACGTATCGGACGGCGGGCAGAAATCCATATCAAACCGGAACTAATGTTTGTTTAAAGTTTAAAAGTACATTTTCTTGATTTTATTTAAATATTCATGTAAAATAATTGTTTAATGACATTTGTGGTCTTAATTTTTTTTTCAGTTACCAAAAATTAGATTTAGATTATAAGCAGGCACCAAACATTCTTCAATGACCTTATATATGTTAAATCGTGTATTATGTATTTTAAATATATGATAAATAGAATACTACATGTACATACTAAAATCTATATCATATGTCACATCGGCCCTCGGCCCTCGGGTTGATATGGGCCCACATGGGCTGATATGACATACGATATGAATTTTCGTATGTATCTATATATTACATATGTACATGTATATAATATCTGTGACAATGGTTTTTTAAATTATACTGTAATTCTTTACTCTATTACCTTGAAGTTGACTTTCTTTTCAAAAATGTTATCTTTCCTTTTAACTTTTGATTGAGAGGAGATAGAGCACGTGCATTATATTACCTGTAACAAGATATTAACGAATAAGCTATGATTTTTTTAACCCCTTGGCCTCATCCTTCATGTTTTCCTTCAAAAATTGACATAATTTTTTTTTAAATTATCTTTGGTGGTTACTTTTGAATGACAAACACATATATATGATACAGCGTTCATATTTCACTCAATATGCGTAAATTAAATTATCTTTGGTGGTTACTTTTGAATGACAATCACATATGATACAGCGTTCATATTTGACTTAATATGCCATGAAAAATAACATCCCATTTCGTAAGATACTAAAAGCAGGGGCCTATCCCTCTTTAAATTTGCTTGTTTTTAATGCTGTAAAATACTAGTTATTATGCCCCCCCCCCCCGCTTGAAAAGTTGGAGGGTATGTAGTAATCGGTGATCGGTATGTCCATCCGGCTGTACGTCCGTCCGTCTGTCCATCTGTTACGCTTTGGGGTACCTTTCTCTTATCCGAAACTCCTCCTATACCAATGAAGAAAATTTAATGAAACTTTCACAGAATCTTTATTACGTATTGCCATTGCACACCTCCTATTTTACTTTTTGATCTGACATATAATTTTGATTTTCCAGAGCAAAACATGGATACTGCCATTATATTCATATGTGAGGCGGGGGGTATTATTTAGTGAGCTCATTGCTCACAATAAATGTACGTACCTCTAGTTTACTTAAAAATCATCTTAAACAGAGAAGTAAATGTAATATTTAAGCCAAAATATTAAATACACTGTTCACTCGAAAAGTACGCAATAGTGTTTTATACCCCCCCCCCCTCCTCCCGCTTAAAACATTGGAGGGTATATAATGATCGGGATGTCTATCCGTCTGTACGTTCGTCCACCCGTCTTTCTTCTCCATTTTGGGATACCCATCTCTTGTCAACTCCTCTTATACGTCTGCATGAAATAATAAGATTTCTTTCACAAATTCTTTGCTACATGGTGACATTGTGCATCTCCTATTTTACTTCTTGATCGAAATCATATTTCGAATTTCCCAAAGCAAAATATTGACACTGCCATTTTTTATATAATATTGAAGGGTACCCATCTCTTATCCATATCTAATCCTACACCACAGCTGGATAAAATTTAATGATACTTTCAGAAATGCCTTTTAACATAATGCTACTGTGACCTTCTATTTAACTTTTTGATCTGACACTGATTTTGGATATCTTTTAGCAAAACATGAACTTTTGAAATAATAATTCCGGTATATTGGAGCAGGGGGTATCATCTTGTGAGTTCACTGCACACTGCACCTCTAGTTTTGATAAATACAGCTTAATATTAGTATAGCTAGATACTTACTTTTAAAATCATAAAAAAATCCTCTATATTGAATGAAACGATGCCACAGATCCCACGTTCCTCTCCAAGGTGCACTACGTTTTCGTCCCTTTTTACCATGTTTCATGATGCAACCTAGGTGAGTCGTCCCAAAATAAAAAGGATGAGCCCCGGCTGTTTTAAATAAACAATTCCTTTTTCATGTTTTTGTGTTAATAAACTTTTCTTAAATAATATATATATAAATAAAATTATTATGATTTTAAAAAAATTTGCGGTTAATGGCTTTAAAAGCTTTTCATGGTGCATGAACTATATGGAGATAACGAAAAGTACTCAAGCTAAAAACATCAATGCAAAATAGGAGCAGAGCAAACATGGACCTCCGAAACATCAGATTTGGGATCAGGTGCCACGGAGAGTGGGCATAAATCTTAGTGAATAATTTTGGTTGTTCAAGAGTCAAGACACAATCTTATTTTTGTTTTAGAGTTGCAATTTTTGACCTATTCATTTCACAAGAGAGCAAAATACAAAAATATAAACATGTTTGGTGTTAAGCTTTCGAACCTGAATTGATCCATACTAAAGACTGTGTCAAATAGATAGTTTCATCCTAAGGTTTCTCAAATGGTAATATTGCTATTGTTCAAATTAAAGCATTACATTATGGAAGTTCATAAGAGACAACTAAGTTTCAACTTCTGGAGGCGGATGGAACTTATTCCAATCTCTTTAAGATTATCTTACAATTTTACGAACCTTCTTTTGACAAACACCCTATAATTTGCTAATTACGAAATGCTTACAATGCTAATTAATTAGATTGAACACCAACCTCGCCATGGGCATCCTCTATCGTTTCCTCCCATAATTATTAGCCAACCGGATGAAACGTCAGCAAATAAGGCACACATAAGTAGGAAAACCTGGAATATACCGGTACTTCATTATGTTTGGAAGTACTTTTTTAAAAATATTTATCATTCGAAACTTTAAAAAAAAATTACGGCGAAAATAAAGGAAAATTAATAAAAAAAGATTAATAGAATAGAATATTGAATTAATATACAGTACATTTATACCGCTCTAAATTCTGATATATACATGTATGATGAATTAATTTTAACAAAATAATACTTGTAAAATCTAATACAAAGAACTTACAGTAAACATGGTAAAGGAATGCATCTTGGCTGTCTGAATTATGGGTTTGAGTGAGAATTATTTATATACAAAGATATACTTTAAATATTGGAATTATGCCAAGTGTTTTCATGCGATCTGTTCTTTATTTTCCTGGTTGCATTAGATGTCCTTAAAAATGCAAGTTGCCGTCCGGATTGAGTACTCCACCGGCAATGATGGTAAGTGAATAATAATACAAGAGGCCCATGGGCCTTATAGGTCACCTGAGCATTATGCAACAACTTTCCAGTGATTGAATTTGATTCATGTTTTAATCCAGATGCTATGGCATTCACAATTTTGAAATAGGCACCATTGATCATCATAACAATACACTTAGCAGTTGCTTAGTTTGTTTACTTAATACCCATAGGCAGGGTAGGGGAACAAAAAATGCATTTCAAGCAATCAGTAATATTCAGCATGATCAGTAATACCCCAATCACACATGAACCCCTGACCCTTAGGCCAAGATCCACACATTGCACAATTTTTGAAAAGGCACCCTTGCTTTTAAAAAGTATTTGATAAATACCAAGTAGCAGATTTCAAACAATTCATCCAGTTTCAGTATATAAGTACAGTCCCCCCCCCTCCTTTATGGTACCCCTGACCCTGGGGCCTTGAAATACACAATTCTGGAAGATTAGGACCCTTGCTCATCATAACTACATAGGTAGTTCATCTGCTTAATACCAAGGAGCAGAGAAGAAAACTTTCAAAGATTTAGTGTATTTTCACTGTATAATCAATAGAGCCTCACCATTTCACTAGACCCTGGGGCCATAAAATTCAAAATTTTGATAGAGGCACTCTTGCTCATCATAAATATGCACTTAGTTAGTTTATTTAATACCCAGGAGCAGAGAAGAAGATTTTCAAAGAATTCAAGAAATTTCACTATATAATCTATAAAGCCCCACCCTAACACCAGAACCCCTGACCCTGGGGCCATAAAATTCACAATTTTGGTAGAGGCACTCTTGCTCATCATAACTATGCACTTAGTTAGTTTATTTAATACCCAGGAGCAGAGAAGAAGATTTTCAAAGAATTAATGAAATTTCACTATATACTTATTTAGCCCCACCCTAACACCAGAACCCCTGACCCTGGGGCCATGAATTTCAAATTTTTGGTAGAAGACTCAATGCTGATTACAATCATGCAAACAGTTTGACTGCTTGATGTCCAGGAGTAAAGAAGAAGATTTTTAACGATTGCACTAATTTTAGTGGTTTTGCCCCACTCCCCAGGCCCCAGGGGGGCAGGGCCCATGAAATTCACAATTTTTGTTCCCCTTTACCCATAAATGCTATATGCCAAATTTGGTTGAAATTGGTTCAGTGGTTTCAGAGAAGAAGCTGAAAATGTTCATATGTTAACGCACGACGAACGACGACGGACGAAAAGTGATAGCAATAGGTCACCTGAGTTTACTCAGGTGACCTAAAAATGAAGAAAATCTTCTTATACAAACAAATAAACGAAAAGAAGAGGCTGAGTATCTACTTCTTTGTGACAAGGAAGTTCCAGAAAAATCTTTATACTTATAAAAAAAATGTCACTTCTCTGCAGGTACTTAATATTAAACACTTGTTTTTATTTGACAGCAACATGAACTAATTTTGAGCTTGTTTTAAAAATATTTTGATGATAATGCATGACTGTAATAAAATACACATAAACAAGAACTCTAAGAGACTTGCAACAGTAATTCTAGTACCGGTCAAGCAACTGATATTTGGATAAATTAAAACATTTTTTTTTAAAAGGCATAAAAAATCTCGGAAACAGAAATATTTATATTAATCTATATTTCCTCTAGGTAATCTCGCATACAAAAAGATTTACAAGTATTCAGAAAACAGTGCTGAAAACCATTAGGACATACCGACAGACAGATAGATAGACTGAGGAGGAGAAAGCCTGTCGATTTCTCCGGAATCACCGGTAAGAGACAAAAAATATTGGAAATAATTGCAACCTACCTATCGAATATACCAAGAAGATCCGTTTTACGGCCACAGAATATGCGAAATGTAGAGTTTTAAACGAGAATAGTAAAAATTCTGTTTAAAGCTGAACACGCCTTTTTCGATATTATCAACACCCAGGGTACATGTATATTCTTCAGAGCCGTCATACCTGACTGCTTTATTGTCACGCGCACGGGTACCCAGGCATGGAATGGTGACCCGCGTTCATGCTGGTTGTATTTTTTGTATCTTTGTTTACATTTTATTGAAGTTACGTGTATCTGTGTTTGTTTGTATACCGCAATGACCTGAACAACTATAATTGTAAGTTTCTTTGGTATCTTACTTCCCTGCATTAGACGAAGTATTACGTTATTACGATATTATTGTCGCTACCAAGTGCTGTATAGCATACGTTCGTCTACTCCGGTGTCGATGATTAAACTGAAGTATCAGTCACATTATCCTGCGATGGGGTAAAGATGAGAAACCAATGCGTTTTTGATAAAAATAGAGAATATATCATCGACCGATCACCATGGAACATCGGTATTTGATTAGCAATGCATCGCCGGGCCATTTTAAGACTCCTCCACACCATGTGACCTGTGACGTATATTGAGAAAAAACTTTTACTTCCGGTTTTATCGAGGTTCTGCATGAACGATTTGGCCTAACACCGATTGTAAATAATGAACACATGGCGTGATCACGGAGTGACCGATGGAAATGGATGTGCAGGGTTTTTTTTAATAAAAGAACAACAGACGTCTTGGATTATGTTACATAATAATTCATAAACAACAGGTATCGGTAGGTATGACGAGAAACGTTCAGGCTATTTATACTTTCAGGCTAATCAACCGAGTCTGTTTTGATATTTGAAATATCGGCACATTAATATTTGTGCGTTTCAATAATACATTAATATCTCATTGTGTGTTTATAAATATTGATAAAATAGTGTGCGTTTCTAGTTTTCCTCTTTTATATTTGTCAAGTTCAGTGGCCAGTAACTACTAAATATAGTATGGTGACGTATGCGGACACTTGCCAAAGCTTTTGAGTCCCGGGTAACAGGAAAGATAACTCCAAAAAGGAACTTTGATACCAAAGATTTTGAAAATGTTTTTTCTACACCAGTGCATTTAATTTAATTCAATTTTTTTATGTAATCTAATCCCTTAATATATCTTCTCCACAACAGGTGTCTCCACAACAGGTGTCTTCATTGATTTTTCTCGAGATGTATTTCAGAGAAAATGAGTTTTATGTACTTTTTATAAATAAAACTTTCTGTAAAAAAAATTTGTGATCGATAAAATTAAGTTTTTATGGTTATTCTGTGAGCTTAAAAACACATACGAAAGGGTGAGACAAAATTTGTTGTGCTAGGTATGAAAACGCCTTGGGAAAAAATTCTTGAAAATTGTGAAATAATTATTTTAAAAAATCAATATAAATTACATTTACATCCCTGGACACATTTAAAAGGTTGATATGCTTGTTAAAAGTAATGCTCAATAATATGATAACATAAGCTGTTGGTGTGTGGAGGACCCTTAAATCCGACCGGCAACCACGTCATTTTTATCAAAGAATGCATTGCATGGTTGCCCGTCGTTTACCCCATCACTGGATAATGTGACTGATACTTTTAGGACTACTGGGCCGATGTGGACCGATGTTGTGGCATTCTTCACTCCACGGATTACCACAGATTACCACCGGTCTACGGTCACCGGCCGGGAAATGTGACAAAGGCACGAACAGCGATAAAGTCTTGCCCTTTATATAGAGATCTGCAGGTATTGCCCTTTATATAGAGATCTGCAGGTATTGCGATTCTCCGAACAAAAATGGCGGACATATTCTTTTAACAAATTGTGCTTAGCTTAAAGATTTTTTTTTATAAAGAAAGTTGTTCTGGCTCCTTTTTTCTATTGTGTGATTTGTTTTGTACTTCCTTACAAAGCTACAAATTGGACAACTTACTTGTAATTATGAAAAAAAAACAAAAATTGTGTAACCCCCACTCTGAATCTTCGATTACGGGGACATAAAAAATGTAATTCTGCTCATGAACATAACTGTTAGAAGGAGGTATAGCTTTGTGTCAGGTCTTAAGGCATGTGACTCGTGAAATAAGTTATATCAAGGATATTTTTTTTTGGATAAGTATTTCTATGTCTCAAAATTGCAAAGAAAATGGGGGAGGACGTAGTTTCAATGTAAATAGCAAATGCTTACAGAATTAAATCAATTAATTGCTTTTTCTGTTTAGTATACCAGGAGCTTCAAATGCAATCATCCATTTTTCTAATAAGGGTTACTTAAAAACGTTTTGCGCTGATTACGAATTAACAGGAAATATTATCATCATAATCATGATCAGAGAGCTCTACGCTCTCGCCACGCTTATTTTGAACATGCTCAAAACAAGCGTAGCGGGATCGTGGCCAACAAGAATCAGGGTAAAGTCGTAAAAAGAGCTTAGTAGAAGCGCCGTAATCGTACAAGCATTGCGGAAGCATCGAAGAGATACCTTAGTGATCGAAGTAAAAGCGCAGTAAAAGCGTAGGAACTTACCAAGTACTCTCCTACAACGCTCCCACTACGTTCGTACTACGTTCCTGACGATCCTACCAAGACCTACAATGACCTTACGCCGATCATATCACGACCTATCAGACAGCATTTCGTTTTTATAGCGCTGATATTTGGCCAATCGTCATCTTTCAACTACAGGGTAAAGGGTGACATAATACTTGGCGATCATTTGCAGTTGAGACTTTTTACATCTTGTTACAGTTACAATTCAATATGCCCCGTAAACCATGTTGAAAAGGTCGTGAAAAATCTGCGGTCGCATGATATATATGTATCATCGCCAAAATCTTATTAAAAAATCTGCAGTTGCAAGATATATCTACATCATCGCCAAAATCGTGCCAGAAACGTAATGCAATCGTAATATGATCGGAACCACCGCTGCGATATCATCTTAAAGTCACCTAGGTCTGCGTAACGTCGTAGCATGGTCTTGAATGCCGAAGCGAAGCGTAGCGTGAACGCAGTAAACTCGGAAGCCGGTCAACAACGGTCTGCGTAACATCGTATTAGAAGCGTGTATGCAGTGCGTCTGACGTATGGGTAACGTACTACGGTAGTAATGAAGACCATTAGCGAAACTGCTCGATTTAGTCGCCGATAGGCTCCGATCTGCCCGATCCAAAACTTTTTCAGATCGTGGCTTGATCGAGATGATCGTCATAAAGTCGCAGCTCTGTGTGAACAGGGGTACATGTACAGACAAAAACATGAAAAACAAAACAAAACAAAACAAATGGTGTGGAATCTAAAAAAAATTACTAAATCAAATAAAGCTAGCAATCAAAGATAAAACTTTTGCGAAGACGCTGACTTTTACAGTTGACGGTTTACTTCAACTTTTAAACCTGTGTCATGTATGGAGGCACAAAATTGATAATAGATAAGAAAACCTTTCTAGTGGTCATAGATATAATGTTATGGGCATTAGCATGTGAAGGGCGGTATTTGTGGGTAGGGTGACTGTCGGATTCTCCAAGGGCAACTTAAATGTGCTTTACTTCAATCCGTTATTTTCGTGTAGTTAAATGTTGAGCTGAATATTTTTCTTGCAAAGGAGCTTCCGTATATTGTCCAAGTGTAAAAGTAAGCCATCGACTGTAAAATTCAGTGCTTTTCGCAAACTAAATTATTAACGCCTCTTCTTTACGTGGTTAGTGTGATATTTGATGAAATCTTAGAATTAAAGCTGCTTCATCCGAAACAGGCACATATTATCTTAAACAATAAAAGTACGTCATTATTACATAGATAATATATAAAAATAAATTATAAGATTGATTTATTAGTCTATTACAACAATTCTTACGTGGAAAACATAAATCATAAACTTTATTGACAAACAGAAGTTCCTGACGGGAAGTTAAGATCTGTTGTGAAGTCACCTTTGAAGAAATACTTTTATTGGTTATATCTAATTATGACGAGAATTCAAACCCGAGTATTTTTTTTCCATTAGTTGAAGCCTAAGTCATGATATATCTTTTAGAATTAAGAATTTAATTATATATAATAAATAGTAATTTTTATATTTATATGCATATTTACAGAATAAAGGAAAATCAGATACCGGTATTTTAAAAGATTTTTTAAAAGGAAGTTTAGTAACGAGGGCTAGAATATTGCCAGTGTACAGGTATAAGTACTTTTTGGGGGGAAAAATGCTAGGGTTTGTTCTTTATGAGTTATACCTGTAAGCGATAAATTTAATTTTTCGAAGTTGATTTCTTGCAATATCAACAAAGGATTATTTTTTGTGACCTAATAAAAATTAATTTTTTAACTTTTGAATTTTGATATCTTTTAAAGAAAAAGACTTTGGGGATATAATTTGACAAAAGTTGAAACAATTTATGGAAAATTATTTTTCTAGAAGAAAAACGAATATATTTTTTTGCGATTGGAATCGGACCAAGCGGCTTTAAACAGAAGAGATAAAATAAGAAATTTTATGGAAAAATTCTATAAATAAAAAACCAAAAGAGACAACTAAATAAAATTCAATTATATAATGTTTATGCGCACATTATACTGCATTGTTTAAATTGAAGGAATCTGGCAAAAATTATGAAATAAAATTTGTCTTTATATAAATGTTTACTTCATTCTTAAAACATCGATTTCATGTGATTGATTTTCAAAATGATTTCACTAAATGTTGGTAAGTAATTTTAAGGAAACTAGTCCACATAAAAATGATGATTCACAGTCCTCAGCGATGGATTTTTTCTTTGTAATTTCAAAAGAATAAAGAAGAGATTTTAATGTTTAGAGCTTGAACAATAGGTGGAAAACCTAAAATAAAGGAAAAAACATGCCATTCTCGAAAGGCATTATGACATGTTATTCAAGTAAAAATGTGTGATCTTGCTGTATGACAAAGATAAGATATAAATAACCTTGACCCATAGAATCTTGAAATAGGTAAGACCAGAATGGCGAAGATTTTGTTTCTCTTGCTTTTGGTCAATATTTTAGGTATGTTGGTTTTTTTCTTTATTAATTGATATCAAAATGCCAATCAATTGTAAATTTAAGAAAATCAAGTTGACAGGATTCTGAGACATGTGAGTTTGGTATGTTTATATCCATTCGTTCATAAAAAATAAAAAGGTTAGCCTAAATGATGGACAATTCTAGAAAACTGAAAGCTCGTTAAAAATATTAAATTTCCTTTTATTTGCATACCCTAGTTTCTCACTCATTTTGAATAAAATTCAGCAATTTCAGCAGAAAAAAGTGGATCAAATTTTCAGAAAAAAATCTTATTTGAAGAAATTTTTTAAAGAAAGAAACGTTAGAAGAGTTACCCATCTTAGTTCAATTTGACATTTAGATATATCGACGTGATTTTATCAATTATCCATTGTTACTTACATAATTGTGTTGACTAGATATTTTCTAGTGTTTCTAAAAGAAAAGATACCACAGAGTCTGACACATCTCTTTCATATTTGGATTTTTAATAGAAAAAGACCTTAAGCGGTATATCTAACACCAAATTGTATATTGTAATGACAAAGTTGATGACTTCAATTTTTCTATCGCCAACCTCTCTTGATTAACAATTTTCCTTTCTCATTTGGTTTATGTCTCTCGATCTCAGTTGTTTCAATATGCAAAATAATTCATTACATACAAGCAATTTGTTGAGCGCGACAGGCCTTTTATAAAAACTATTAATCTCATTTACAGTTATCATTTCGCAGATTCTATGATCGACACAATGACTTTGTAAGCAAAATACAATCTACATGTAAGTCAAAAGCGGACTGGCGTTTTTTTTTCTTAATGATTGTAATGCCATTATTATTTACGGATTTTTTTTCCGACTATGTCAAGGAGCACACGGCGTGTATGATTGCTAGGAAGGTATTCATAGCACCTGATCCTACTACTGATGTTTTCTAGGTTTCTGTTCGTTCTACTCCTAATTTACATTGTTTCAATGTACTCCTTTCTTTCGTCATATTTCATTATCAAGAAAGCGTAAAACAATATACGTTGTTAACAGCGATATCAACAGTTCACAATAGTTGATTTTAAAAAAGAACAAATATATATACCTGCATTTGATTTGTTTATGGACAGTTCCTCTTTGATTAAAGATCATGTTAAGTGTTTATAACTTAATATATGCATTTCCAATGTCTTTGTTCGTGATAAAATTATAAATAGTAAATGTACTTCATTCTTCCATTAATGTACAGGTTCATCTATAGACGCGGTAAAAAAAAATCACGTGCAGTGCGCGATAAATTGCTACACAGGAGGAGGGCTTGTAGCAGGTGGATTGGCGGAATCAAGAGCATGTAAAATATAAGGAATAGCTAAGATTTTTTGATTTCATGACGATGATCAATGGATTGGCTTGCGTGATAATTTTACGCTTAAACACATTCGGCTTTTATGCAAATTATCACGCAAGTCATGAAATCGAAAATAAGACAGATATTCCTTAAATAATATCATTTATCATTTTTTTACACTTCTGTAAAAATAATGAATAGCTCTTGATGGTTTTTTTTTTGTTCTTATTTTTCAGCAACATGCTATATGCAGCTGATTACTCCAATGATGGCGTGTAAAATGGAGTGTCTTCGGGATAAAAACGTCACAAGCGCTCTGTATGACAGTGAAGAGGCCAAAGAATGCAGACAATATTGTCTCCATCATGCGTGCGTTTTATTTGAAATTAAGAATTTATTCTTAGTATTTGAATCAAAAGATTTGAGCTGTTTTGGGGCATTTCTGAGAATATAAGACCAGATAAAATGTTTAAATTTAAGATATTTTAAGAATACTTTTCATTAAAATTTTATTTTCTTTCAGCTACGATTTCTTACACCAGCTTGGGTAAAATTGCCAGAGACGAAGTTCAACTCTTTAATAAAGCATGAAAATTACTATTTTATTCATTGATTTTTTTTTCAATTGTACGTCGGGGATTTTGGTGTAAGGTAAACCGATTTCTTACAATTCACGCTAGTATGAATAATGTGTTTCCTATTAAAAAGGTTCCCATTATCTATTGATTGAAGTTCGAATCTGGTATTAACATGATTTCTTGAACTCAATACGATAATGAGAAAGCCAGCTTTATTCTTTAACTTAATGATTTTCAAAATTAAGATTTCTGGGGGGTGTTTACAAATTGTATTATACTTGATAATAACATGTAAGATCCTATCAACATGTAGGACCATGTGTTGAAATTCATTTAATCTTTTACTATGAATACTTTGATTTAAAATGTGATATTTTTTCATTTGGCTTTATTATAACTTTGTTTTAACAATAACGCTTTCCCTATCTCCCTTTCTATTACGTATGAAACAAGTACTAGTATGTAGGATATTTACAAAAGGTACATGTACATAGTCACGTCCACGAAATCAATCTTACAATGTTAGCTCCACCCCTCATGCATATTTATATCAATTCATCTTCAGTTAGAGTCTCCAAATTTGGAAACCTCTTTAATATTGAATATTGAATCAACAGAAAAGAAGTTAAGATATAAAAGCAACAGAAAAGACTGAAAAGTTCAAAAACTATGTGTTACATGAAAATGCAGTCATCATTGGAACTTGACTTAGTTTGTAAATATTGACGTCATTAAAATATTTCTGAACTCAAACTATAGTTTGAGCTGTGAATTGTCGTAATACCATGCGATTCACATTTTATGCATCCTGATTGCTGCAAGTAAGGAATTTTCAAGGGTGTTTTGTCCTTGTATTTTTTGCTGAGTTCTAAGAACCTATACAGCTACTAACACATATCCTTGAAATGGTTCATTTTAAAAAAAAAAATAAAAGAAAGAATCTGGTTTGTTTATTAAGTACAGTAGCTCGTATAGGACAATGTATGCAATTTCCTATTTATAAAATGAAATTTATTACCAGAACATCGATATCAAACGAAAACTTATGATGGTAATTTACGAACTGCCGACTTTGAAGGAGGTTATTAAAATCCCTGTAACATTTATTTATCTGAATAATAAATTTAAGAAACAAAAAAGACAATACATTTTTATTTACTTCTTTTATTTGCTAACTGGAATATCGAATTCCACATTTTCACAATTTGTACCAAAAAATAAATATAAATAAAATAAATATGATTTACAAATGAAATATATGATATGAGATTCATTTTCACTATTCTTATTGCATCAAGTTTTGAATTAGAAGCATTTTCATTCTTTTCTCAAATGTTAATAATATTCCACATCGTCACAGCTTCCTTTACACCAATCAGGGCACGTGGTACCTCTTCTACACAGAACTTCTGACAAGCGGTTGGCAAAATTGTGACAGTTGTTAAAAAAGAGGCTGTAGTTACCGAATTGACATGTGTAATTTTTGGCACAACCCTCGACGCAGTCGGTGCTTAGTTCGCTGTACCCCGCTGGGGATTCCTCCTTTGCCCCAGAGCATTCATCTCCACTTAACCGACTCTTAGCGATCGATACTTTCGAATTCACTGAAATAAAAGAGAATTCCAACATTGCAGTTAACTTTATTTTCACAAGGAAATTCATTTTGCATTGTCTTTATATTTATCAAAAATTAAAAAATGAAATAGAAAAAATATTTTTGTGTTTCTTTTCTGTTTTTGAAAAATTCTCACAAAATTCGTAACAAGTGTACATTTGAATGAAAACTAGTTTGCATTTTAAATTATGAAATATAAATCAGCATTCAGATACTACTTTTACAAAAGCTTCACTAGATTTAATATTTAAAACATCATATCAAGGGTTTTTATGATAATTCTAGTTAGTATATAGGTCTCTGACTATATAATAATGAGAAAATATTAAAATTACTCAAGAAAGGGAACTATTCAAACAACACTAGTAACTTTGGTGGAGAGAAAATAAAAAAGAAATTATACAATTAAATTTCAAATGTGCACCTACTTTGGAAATCATAATAGTATCCCCTGTATTCGATGAATCGATGGGTGGGTAAATACGTCCGTCTTGAGGGTATACTTCGTTTTCCCATGCGATGTTGTACGAGGCAAAAAAGATTTGTTGTTCCAAAATAATACTGATGAGCGCCATCTATTTCATTAAAAAAAAACGTTTTACAGTGTTGAAAATTAGTCTAAATAATAAATGGGAAACACAAAGGAGATCATTTTTATAAAATTCTTTAAGCAAATATATCTTTTTTTATATTATTTTTTATCTCTTTTTTTCTTCTTATGCAAAACTTGCGGAGCTCATGAAGAAAGTCCTCTAACTACAGTTTATTTTTTGGTTATTTCATTAACATCCTTTTATAAACATGAATGGTTTCGCATTGAAAGATCAAAATAAATATTTTAATCTTGATCAATTGGTATGATTTGAATTATTTATTAATAAATAAAATTGCTTTAGTTGCAAAAAACATGTTCTCTTAATTAAAGCTTTATACATGTATTTATATATTCAATTGGCCATACCAGTAAATTTTACTTTATGCAAATATAAAAATCAATATTTGTTAATAATTTGTTGAATAAATTGACAAAACCTTTAAGAAACAATTTACTAAAAAAGGAAATGAAAGTTAGACATTCAGATTGATTGAAAAAAATTAGCTCGTTATCAATTTTGCACCATTCTCTAACTGAAATCAAACCAACAATTGATATTAAATAAAAGATATCAATAAATTATTTTTTCATAAATTCACTGTATCATTTCATTTTATTGAAAATATGCTGTTTTAAATTTTGTTTCTATAACGAAATGTATTTTAAAGATCCAATTTAATTCTATTAAATCTTGAAAATAATAATTAATATTGATTTGTTTATTCATAAATATAAAAATTATTAAACTGCAAATTAGTCTGTTCTTTTTCTTTCTTTTTTGTTAAGCTTCATTAAAAACAATTTTGTATAATGTTAAAAAAATTCAAAAGTTTATACAATATATGACGTACCATCATTACAGGTATAAGGACCTACAACCTCTTTTCCAGTTTACATGTAATTCTCTTTGTCCTTTACGGAGAATTTTAGACGAAGAGTTTGGCAAATATAAATATTCGACAATTCTTAAGGACCATAAAAAATTACGATATTGAACTTTGATACATCGCTCATGAAAATCTCTTCTTCTACCTCATTTTGATGCCACCAAAGCATTTTTTTTTAAATCTGCAAGTCTTTCATACCTATCCTGATTCATGCTATCATAATATCATTTAATAGACAAATTTAATATTAATTTATTACCAACCCCGATCTGGGCATTTTTCTTCGTATTTTCCATAAAACCAACTATAGACGCAGGAAACATTAGGAAATAAGGTGCACACTAGTATGAATATCTGGAAATAAACATTTTAGTTTCATATAATATATGTAAATATAAACTAAAGTTTAAAGAAAACATTCATATTAATCACAAAATAATAAATATAAATTTAATTTGAATGTAAATTAAAGCTTTCTAACAACTTACAGTCGTAAGGAAATGCATCTTGGCTGTCTGTGACTTGTGATTGGGGAGAGCGGGTTATATAGGACTTAATCAAAGTGCTTACACTTGACAAACACTTAATGATTGTTTTGAAGCAACATGCTTCTTCATCAGAAATAAACGTCATAATCAGTAGTTGAGACATCCTTTGATAAAATAATGAACGTCATATAAAGTACAATCTTCTGAGAATCTCCTTCAAGGTGAGCAAGATCAACGCCAAGCGAGCGGCAAAATTAAAAATATGAGATGCATATGAAAATAATACTTAGTGCCATACCTCATTTCTATAAAATCTATAATTAAAAACGCAACAAAGTTTCTTCAATTCTTAAATTCAAGTCTCAGTAATATCTTATTATGATGCTTGGACAGCGTAAATCTTTTATTGTATATTTCTACTCGAGAATACACATAAAAATTACATTCAAATAAATTTCAAAGAAGGCTTGGTAGAAAAACAAAGCAAATGTAAATCTTAATCAATAGATATAATGTAATTTTCACTCCATTCATTATTTGTTTGGAAGAAATATTAATTAATTTCATGAACGTCACGGGTTAAAAAAAATGTAAAGCTGTGTGTAAATGCTGGTTGTGAGATTGGTTTTTTTTTTTCTTCCATTTTCCAAAAAAAAAAAAATAGTTTGGAACGGAAGACTGCAATTAAAGAGACAAACAAAATTGCGATAAATAGATTTCTAAAACGAATGTATTTTTTAATTACGAGAATGCAACCAGTCGTCAACTTCAAGTAAGGATAGTAAATTTTAAGGAGGCATTGAATTCCGAATCTGGTATTAACATGATTTCTTGAACTCAAAACGATAATGAGAAAGCCTACTTTTTTAACTTTATGATTTTCAAAATATAGATTTCTTGGGTTTTTTTCGTTTTAAAATCGTAATATACTTGATAAATAGGATGTAAGATCCTAACTAAGACCATATGTTGGTATCATTAAATTTTTAACTATCAATAATTTGATTTGAAATCTTCTGATATTTTTTCATTTGGTTTTATCAATAATTTTGCTTTAACAATTATGATTTCCCTATCTCCCTTTCTATTACGTATGAAACAAGTACCCTATTTACAAACGGTTCGAAATAAATGAACACTAGCCACATCCACGAAATGAATCTTACAATGTTAGCTCCACCTCTCATGCATATCTATATCACTACATCTTCAGTTAGAGTTTCCGAAACTTCTTAAATATCAAATTATTCTAAAATTAGTTAAGCTATAACAGCAACAGAAAAGACTGAAAAGTTAAAAAAATATATATATATGTGTTTAATGCGGTCATCATTGGAGCTTGACTTAGTTTGTAAATATTGACGTCAGTAAAATATTTCTGAATTCAAACAATAGTTTGAGCTGTGAATTGACGTAATACCCCACGATTCACATTTTATGCATCCTGATTCCTGCAAGTAAATAATTTTCAAGGGTGTTTTGTCTTTGTTTAGTTTTGTTGAGAACTAATAACCTATACAGCTACTAACACATAATCTTTGAAATGGTTCTTTTTTGTAAAAAAAAAATCTGCTTTGTTTATCAAGTACAGTGGCTTCTATTGGTCAAAGTATGCAGTTTCTTATTTATAAAATGAAATTTATTACCTGGAAATCGATATCAAACAAAAACTTATAATGGTAGGTTAAGCTGTATGTGTAATTATGTATACTGTGAAATCACTAGTTTTTGTGGGGGTTTTAATTTTCGTTGTTTTCAAAGTATGAAAAGACCCATAATTCTATATCCACCACGAAACGCAAGTTTTTTAATTTATTACTACTGTCCAATTCTTCATTCTCCGGGACTGCTTTGGGACTACCCTGTGACCCCCGTGGGACTACTCTGGAACTGTAGGACTACTTGGACAGCTGTTATACTCCACAGGAATTTGAACTTGGGAATGCTGTTGGACCACTCTAAGACTGCTGTGGCACCACTCTTGGACTGCTGTAGGACTGCTCGGACCGCTGTCGGACAATACGTGGGAATGCTTTGGGAATGCTGTGGAACTACTATTGGACCGCCGTGGGACTGCTTTGGGACTTTTTGGGACTGTTAATGGACTGTAATTGGACTGCTGTTGGAGTGCTCAAGCAGTCCCAGAAAGCAGTCATGGGAACTGCTCTTAGACGGCTCTGTCAGGATGGGTCTGGTTGGTACTGTACCTCTTAAAGACATAATCGACAACACGGGGGCTGCTACCTTGGTCAGAAAATCCTCATAATGTTATATTTTCTCTAAAGAAAACATAATTATGCGGGAGATTACTTTTTCATTTTTTTAAATGTAAAAAATATTCTAATAAAATGTCGACTTACTACATGTCACATGTTCATAAAACGTTTAAATTTTTTTTTTTTTAATTAAGAACTCATTAAAATTATAAAATCTTATAAACTTGAAAAAAAAAATGTCTTTTTTTCTCAAACATAAGAAATAAGTATTAAAATTAAAGGGAAATGATTCCTGTTTTAAACAAATAATAATTACCGTAAATTTATAGTTGTTCGTGACGTCGACGAATTAGTATACGGTTTTTCATAAAGTTCTTATGAAATATTGAGTATTCTCAACATAATTGCAGTTAGATATCTGTATTTTTACGGGACATGTAAACATGATATTCCAACTAAACGTAAGGTGTTTTTTTTACATTTATATAACGTGAAATGTGAAGATAACGAACCAAATTTGTGCTCAAAAGTCTCAACAAAATCTTTTCAAACAATGTAAACCAGGAACATAGCAAACAAGGGCCTCCAAGCAACAGAAGTAGGTTCAGGTGCCATGGAGGAGTGAGCATCCCCTGCATACCGTTCACACCCGACATGTGTTCAATCCTTCACGAATAGGAAAACAGGATAATTCGCAGAAAATTCAGTCTGTTAATAATTGCATAATGATTGGTATGAAAAAAGTTAGTTGGTATTGGAAAAGGTCAGTTATCCTTATCCTGATGTTGTTTTATAATCAGATTAATGCTACCAGAAGTAGATGAATAAATGTCAGCATTGCCGTTAAAAGTGTCATATATTTTTATTTAATCATTATATTTTACAGTGTATTCAATATGTGAATAATTCTACCAGTTTTCTTTCCCTGTTTTCGTTCTAATCCAGAAGAAGAAAAAAACTTATTGATTTTCTGATGCTAGCTTTATCGTAGTATAATTTTATTTAAGTAATTGAGTCAATGCTGGTTTTATATTTTACTTCCTGATGCTGATTTATGTAATGCTGATTTTTAAATACTGATAGTGATGTCAGTTAGATACTGATGCTTGTTTTTTTTTTTTTTTTTTGCTTATGCTGTATTGTGTAACAAAATAAGTTACATGCACTGTATCATGTTTCTCCGATCAATATCTAACATCTAAACAGAAACAATATGAAATCTTTTATTATAATTATTGCATGAACGGAAACATAGATAACTAACATCATCTATATTTTAAAAAAATCCACTAGCAATACAAACCAGTGAAGTGGGTATTTAATACGGACCCCCAAGTATATCGGGGATGGGATCAGGTGTGTAAGGGGGAGTAAACGTTCCCGTTGACACCAGTCAAACCTGCCCTGATTATATTGTATGGGTAGATTGACCATTCCGAAGTCGAATTCAATAAAAACAAAAGCCTAAAAATTGGTATGAAACAAGTCATCTGAAAAACGATCAAATGATAGGTAATATTTGCTACCAAGGTCATTAGAAGAATTATATGATTTACGAACTGCCGACTTTGAACGAGGTTATTGAATTCCTTGTAACATCAACTTACATGTATCTCTAATAACAAATTTGAGAAACAAAGAAAACAATACATTTTTATTTACTTCTTTTATTTGCTAGCTGGAATATCGAATTCCACATTTTCAAAATTTGTACAAAAATAAATTTAAATGAAATAAATAAATAAATATAATTTACAAATGAAATATATGATATAAGATTCATTTTCACTATTCTTAATGCATAAAGTTTTGAAATATAAACGTTTTCATTTTATGCTAAATGTTAATAGTATTCCACATCGTCACAGCTTCCTGTGCACCACTCAGGACACGTGGTACCTCTTCTACACAGAACCTTTGACAAGCGGTTAGCAAAATGGTGACAGTTGTTTAGCAGTAGACTGTAGTTACCGAAATGACATCTGTAATTTTTGGCACAACCCTCGATACAGTCGGTGCTTAGTTCACTGTGCCCCGCCGGGGATTCCTCCTTTGCCCCAGAGCATTCATCTCCACTTAACCGACTCTTAGCGATCGATACTTTCGAATTCACTGAAACAAAAGAGAAATCCAACATTGAGGTTAACTTTATTTTTACAAGGAAATTCATTTTGAATTTTATTTATTTTTATCAAAAATATTAAATTAAAAGACTTGGTTTATTATTATTATGTTTTTTTTGGGGGGGGGGGGGTTCTATGTTTTTTGAAAAAAATCTTACAAAATTCGTTACAAGTATATTTGCATGTAAAATAATTTGCATTTTGAATTTAAAAACATAAATCTGCATTCAGATACTATTTTCACAAAAGTTCACGAGGATTAATATCTAAAATATCATATCAAGGACTTTAATTTTATGATAATACTAGTTAGTATATATGTCCCTGACTACATATATTAAGAATGAAAAAAAGACTGAAATTACTCAAGAAAGGGCACTATTTAAACAACATAAGTAACTTTGTTACAGACAAAATTGTAAATAAGATGTTATACAATGATATCGCAAATTTGCACTTACTTTGGAAATCATAATAGTATCCCCTGTATTCGATGAATCGGTGGGTGGGTATAAAAGTCCGTCTTGAGGGTACACTTCGTCTTCCTAGGCGATGTTGTAAGAGGCAAAAAAGATTTGTTGTTCCAAAGTAATACTGATGAGCGCCATCTATTTCATTAAAAAAATATTTACAGTGTTGAAAAAAGTCTAAACAATTAATGCACATTTAAGCAAGAAGATCATTTCTATAAAATTCTTTAAGCAAACATTTGTATTTTTCATCTTTTTTTCTTCTTAAAGCAGCTTTCGGAGCTAATAAATAAGGTCTTTACACCAAGGTTTATTTAGTTGATAGTTTTCTTTGATGAAAATGAATGATTTTGCATTAAAGATCAAAAGATTTTTTTTCTTCATCATTTGATATGACTTGAATTATATTTTTTAATGAATAAATTTGCTTTAGTTGCAAGGAACATGTTCTCTCATTTAATACATTTTCTCCTTTTATATAAATATATATATCTTTTCATGATTGAAATTGCTTTAGTTGCAAAAACATGTTCTCTCAATTAATGCATTATCTCTATGTTTAATGGCAATTGGCTATGGGAGTAACTTTTACTTTATTTAAATATGAAAATCAATATTTCTAAATATTTCTTTTAATTTATGGACAAAACCATCAAGAAACAATTTACTTATAGAAATGAATGACATTTATATTGATCTAAGAAACATTAGCTCGTTATCAATTTTGCATCACTCGCTAACTTAAATCAAACCAATAATTAATATAAAATAAATTATCAACAAGTAATTGTCCATTTGATCGGTTACCTGACAAAAATCAGATTATGTTACATTGATTAAAAACCACATTACAACTATAACATTTTTATACCCCTGGAAACGAAGCTACCTCGTCTTAATGCGACTAAAGCCCTCTTTCACGATTAAAAAAAAACTTTTATATCTTCCTCTTACATACCTCTCCTGATAAATACTTGATAAAATATAACCACATGTAAATGACTAATTCATTTAATTAATTAATTAATATTTTTTAGTTACCAACCCCGATCTGGACATTCGTCTTCGTATTTTTCAAAAAACCAACCATAGAGACAGGAAACATTAAGCAATAAGGTGTACGCCAGCATGAATACCTGGAATTAAAAGTTTTAGTTTTAAATAGCATATCAACATACAATCTAACGAATATCACATTCAATTATATAAAAAGATAAAAATATAGGTTTAATCTGTGAATGTACAATATATCTTTCAAACAACTTACAGGCGTAAGGAAATGCATCTTCGCTGTCTGTGAGTTGTGATCGAAGAGAACGGTTTATATAAGACTTAATCAAAGTGCTTACACTTGACATACACGTAATGATTTTTATTCAAACAATATGCTTCTTCTTATAAAATAAACGTCATATAAAGTTGTTAACGCACCCTTTGATCCGAAAATGAACGTCATATAAAGTGCCATCTTCTGAGAATCTACTTAAAAGTGGCTAAGATTTAATGGAATACGTACAGAAAACAAAGAACTCTCTATACTGTTAGAATTAACATTTTCTATTTTTAAAATATTAACCATAATTTAGTGCTAAAAATTTTTACTTGATTTTAAATTACACCATAGTAATTACATGTAGGACTTATGATCTCTGGTCCAAATTTTCATTTTTTCTTTACATTTCCGCCATATTTTAATATCAAGAAGTAATCAAAGCATTAGATTCAATTGAAAAAAGGTGAAAGTATGAGTATGAAGCTCTGCTTTTTTTTTTCAAGAAAAAGTTTTTTTTTACGTCGGATCAGGATATGAAGAAATAATCTCTCAAAGGTTAGTAAGCGCAATAGTTTATAACAATTTAAGGACATACGCAACGTACCTTACCTATTGATAATTTTCCAAGATATTCAAAATTTAAACTTAAATTTAATTTCTACATATTCTTTGACAAAAAATCAGCATTCGTTACCATTGGTTTTGAAGAGATATCGAATTTTGAAAATTTTTGCATTGTTCAAATAAAAATGTACAAAAATTATAAAACATAAATTCCAGATTTCTTTTCATCAAAAATTGTTTTAGAAGAGATGTACAAATCCATAGATAGACATGAAAAATATTGCACACAGGTCCTTCATTTAGTGGAACTCTTCAACTCCAGGGAAGAACACAAAAAAGTTCAAACTACGTTGCGTATGATTTTGAAATTATAAATATGAGACGTATATGAAAATCAAACTTAGTGGCATATCTCATATCATTTAAATTTGCAACTGAAAAGGCAACAAAGTTTCTTATGCCAGGTTTTCTTCAATTTAATATTTACTTGTAAGAAAAGAATTTCTTCTAATTTTTTTTTTCATTGAAAAATCTATATTGATAATAATTTTACTTATTGTACATGATGCATTAGTCCCACATAGATGCACTTTAAATAAAGCATATGGAGATAACGAACAGTTTTCAAGATCAAAAGTCCATAAGACAAAACAAAATAGGAGCAGAGCAAATGCGGACCTACAAAACATCAGAGGTAGGATCAGGTGCCATGGAGGAGTGAGCATTTCCTGCCGACCGGTCACACCTGACGTGTGCTCCTTGTCATGATCGGAAAATAACGGAAAAATCTGTCATCAACTCAGTGTATAAATAATGGACTAACAATGAGTTTGAAAAACGTCAGTCAGCATTTGACTCAATGATAAATTGTTTTGTTGACAAGGCCATTGTATAGACCATATAACTGACGAAATTATTACTTTAAGGTCTTTCCACCCTCACAATTCTAATGGTTCAAAGTACAGAAACTGCGTTTAATTTCATCTGATATTCTTTAAATTTTTCAATTATTGCAAAAAATGTATAGGTTGCCATATTATTTTAGATGGGATACATAAATAAACAGAAGTATATGTCAATAAAAACAAATCGCACATTTTTTGTAAACAGTATTGTGAAAAATATGTATAAAATGGTTAAATTGCATAATTCTGATGCTGAATGTTTCTAAAAACTTCCTACTTAAAAGATACGTTTGAATTGTGAATTTTAGGGAAACTATTTTACATTAGAAGTACAATAAAGCAAAGGCCTGAATGAAGAGACCTGAGAAGGAGGTATTACACTTGTCAACATTTTTTTAAAGATTGTATTCTATGTTAAATAAAAAAAATATGCATTTTTTAAATGCTTTCACTTTACAATATTTATCAGTACACCTATTGAAAATCATTCCTCAAAAAGATATTGTTCTATCGGGTATTTATTCAAACTAAAATCAATTTTTGCAAAAACCTATGACATCATAGGAAGGTGGAATTACCTTAAACGAGACTGCTGATATTCTTGTTTCATCAACTTGTTTGTTAATAATTTACATCGTTTTAGAAATTGGTTCATATGTAGAGCATGTTCTTGCTCTTGTTTATCATAGAGCTTGGTAATTAGATTACCATTAACGTCTTCTTCAAGTTAAATTTCCAAATATGAAACAAATGTGTCAGACTCTTCGGTATCCCTTATTTAAAGCTCACCAGGGTATATCGCATCTACTTAAGAATTCAATTTGCAATTGTTAATTGTCAATACGTCGTCGATGTATCTAAATGTCGAGTTGAAGGCAACAGCAAGTTTTTTTCTTTTTTTCATGCTTAAGATTTTGCTCAAATTCTGCTTCATATGAGTATAAAAATAGGTCTGCTAAAAACGGGGCACAATTGGTACCCATGGAAATTTCAAGTAGATGGTTGGAAGACTTGGTCACCAAAAACTAGATAGATATTGTCGATCAGAAATGATTTTACTAAAGAAAGAATTTCTTAGAGAATTGTGAACATATCAAGCATGAATTTCGTTGCATTTTTACTAAATTCTATGAAGTCTAAATGTGACATCACTTTAGCGTGATCTTTTCCGTGTATATTTATTTCTAAGCGTGAATATTTTCTTGTGAAAAAAGTACAACAGTTTGCAAGAATTTTCCAATTCAAGAAATATTATTTTAATAGAAAATTCTAATATTAAAAGTAATTCTATTTATTGTACATGATAAATTAAAGTCTTATTGTGACAACACTTAAACGTGAATTTATCATTGTATATGTCTACTCGAAAATATATACATGAAAGTGACATTCAAATCAATTTGAAATACGAGGGTTGGTCCAAAAGTAATGTCACAGCATCAATAAAATCTCTACTTGTCGACGTACAACAACAAAATTATAAATGATGGAAGCTATGTATATTTCAAATCAGACCTGAAAATTTTAATTCAAAGTAAATGATAATTTTAAAAATATAGAATTATGTACAATGTGCGAATTCGGTAGTCTTCGCCGCATCTAAATACCGTCATGTTAGGGATACGCACCGTCATTCTTAAAAATGTTTCCCAATAAAAATATTTGAGATTCTGGAATACGTTCACAAATTTCTCTTCTTATGAAATTCTTGGTAGCCATTGTACATTCACTCTTTTCATAACAAGTCCTTAGTCAAAATTCCTTGAACAGTATAATATGACATTTTCCATATCCATTTACATAACAGATACACGATCTCTTATGACAACACCAGACACCATGTTACATGTTTCCTTCCGATCGTTCTTCTTTCATTTTTCCTGTATTCTGATAATAGTTCAATGACCTATCACACTCCCTAAAATCGCTGAAATCATCTATAAACAAGACTCTTCTTTACTTTTTATCATTGTGAGTCTTTTAATCAGTGTAACTGTCTATACTGGTAAATTCCCCATTTTGAAGAAAAGCTCGTTACGCCCCCCTTCCACTATTTTGAAACTTCCTTTGTTCGATGAATCAGACTCAAACACATTTTTTAAAAGCAAAAATAACAATGGCATCATTTATTCTTAACTGTTCCTTAGAAAAACATGTATGTTAATTTTGTCTCTTAAATTTTTTGGGCGATGAAACATGCTTTAAATGTTTTTTTTAATGTGCTTACCTTTCTCATCCTAAAAAGACGCAGCGACATCCCCTATGCTTGATGTTTTAAACATCTTTACAATTAATTTAATTTAACATTATTAGACAAAAAATTCGATGTTAGTTAGATTTATAAATGCGCAGCGGCATATTTTGGTATATTGTATTTGATAATATGACACCAATACATAAAAATATGGACACTGTGACATTACTTTTGGACCAACCCTCGTATTAATTTATTTCATAAACAAAATAAAATATCAAGATTTTAATTTCCAAGGGTAAAAACATTCAGTAAAGCTGTGTGCAAATGATTATTTTTGAAATAAGATCTGTTGTGTGTGAGACCGGATTTTTTCCCATTTTCTACACCAATAGTTTGTAAAAGAAGACTGCAATTAAAGGGTCATAAACGAATATTTTCTTTTAATTACACGAAGGCATCCAATAGTCAACTTAAGTCAGGATATTAAAGCTGACATGAATTCTTAAAAACGCAACTTTTCATCTATGTACGACTTGTTTCATACCAACTATAGCCGTATTCCGCCATATTTCTTTCAGATACCTTGTCTTATTGTAACGATATATACCCCAATACCCTCGTTACACTTGAATGATTTTTTGGCTTGGCTATCGACTTGTGCACATCTCCGATGGTAAAACATTTGAAAACATATGGGTTGATCAAGACATTTCAAACCACACAACATAATAATCATATTTCTGAATAATTAAAGATTTGAATCAAATGTTATAAAAAAGAAAGAAAATGCAAGTTTGAAAGAAAGATTTAGTTGCACGAGTACGCATTTTTACACTGCGCCAATTTATGCAGAATAAACATGAAATAAAAAGCACTAAAACCCGTAAACACACTTTGAAATTATTATCATTTGAATGGAACAAAACAATCAGCGTCTTTGATTTGCATGTTTTATGCAGACTTTGATGCATGTCGAGAAAACGCGTCGAACGCTGTAAACGTACCCATACCTGGTAATAAGATCACTGCATCGGTTCGAAGATGTGCACAAGTCATGATCAAGTGATATACACCTTGAATTCCATTTATTGAAATATGCATCACAAAAAAGAAATAAACTCCATAAAAACTCAATAAACACACTGTATCTACTCCGTACAGTCTAGCGCGTCGATACACTTAGTCCGTGCTGATCAGATTTTGGTCAGGGAAAATATCACAAGTGGAAAAGAGTGGTATTTGCGCGGCTGAAATGGGGGGGGGGTCTAAAGTATAATTATAACGGCTTTATAAGGTATAACTGAAAATTGTCTATCTAGTTCTAATAAGCATTCTTTATATAGTCT